GGCAAGGCTTCGGTGGTACGGCCATGTGATGCGAAGTGAAGAGTCATCAGTGGCCAAGACTGCGTTGCGTATTGAGCCAGAGGGCCGCCGTCCACGCGGACGTCCGAAGAAGCGATGGATGGACCGAATAAAGGAAGACATGAAGACGGTCAACGCATCCCCTGAAGATGCCCTGGACCGAGCCAAATGGAGAAGACAATGCCGAAAAGCGGACCCTGCGCCACAGCGGGAACAACGCTAGGAAGAAGAGAATGTGGTAAAGAAATCCAACATACACGCACACATCAGACCGCAAGGTGCGCGCAGATTGCAAGCAAGGCAAGGTAATAGCAAAGGCAAAATGAGACGGGGCTTCTTTGTCTTACCGTTGTTCAGGAAAGCCACCCACACCAAATCCCCGCCATCCGCCATGCTCCCTATTGCCCCAGAGAATAGGCGGCAGCGTCATTACTCAGTGCACCGCTTCAATACCCCTGCGCATACATTAGCACGGCACGCGGCCGGCTATGTAAACACACCGCACTGTAGAGGATTCGTCTGCTCACCATGTCCACATGGACAGGAGCAATTATAATGCGACTTGAAATGATGAGTTGAGCTGTAATTTAATGTTTAAAAAAAACACCATAACAGTAACTTCGTTGCTTATTTCTAGATTTGAAGCTTCGTGACTGCAAGGATTCATATTCTTAGGTTTTTTCGGTAAAGTCACCTAGGTAAAAAATTAAAATTAATAAAAGTAAAATAAAAATAAAATAAAAATCACGACGTTTCGGAGGCAATACAAGCTTTCGTCTTCAGGTGGAACAGTCACATCACGATAGCTGTATCACTTGATACAGCTATCGTGCTGTGACTGTTCCACCTGATAGCCGTATCACTGTATCACTTGATACAGCTATCGTGCTGTGACTGTTCCACCTGAAGACGGAAGATTGTATTGCCTCCGAAACGTCGTGATTTTTATTTTATTTTTATTTTACTTTTATTTATTTTAATTTTTTACCTACGTGACTTCACCGAAAAATCCTAAGAAAATTCGTTACTTATCTTTATTCTTCTGCATATTATCAATCCACTGCTGTACGAGGGCTTTCTCGCACCGTACGTGCCGTGAAGGGTTATTTGACCATGCTTCACCACGCTGGTCAGTGTGGGTTGGTGAAAGTGGGGGGCGCATAGGTGCACGGTACAACGATGGCTTTTACTGCGCTTCCATATGTTGGCTACCACAGAGCGCCACAGCGTATAACCACTTGTTTTTTAATGCATGGCGGTCACTCATTTAAAGTACCATCCAGACTGAACCCTGATTATTAATAAGCTTTTGAGGTGTGATGAGGTGGGATGAATTTCAGGTGATATGACAACAGGCAATTGGTATTATGTCATGTCCACGCTCACAGAATTGCAGCATGGAACCGAAAACAAAACTATTCAGAAAAACGCCTCAATGTTATTCGAGCTTCCTTTAACGTATGCTCTGTAGTGTAGGTTTATTCTTGATAGCGGTCAAATATCAAGCTTGTAAAATACGTATTGTTATTGATAAAAAGGCCTTCTCATCTGCAAAATCGAGTTACATAATACAAAGTAAAGGTACAGGCCCTGCAATGACTTGCTCGAGCCACTGCTAGAGGAAGGGCCTCCACGAGAGGGAGTTGTAGAGAGCCCCCATGGAGAGCATTTATTGACCCACTCTTTCATAATACATGGACTCAAACCACAACATGGGAAATCAATGGTATACTCGGGCCATGGTGAACTGGACTCCCATGGTAAACTGGTCTTCCATGGTGAACAGAACTCCCGTGGTGAACTGGACTTCCATGGTGAACTGGACTTCCATGGTGAATAGAACTCCCGTGGTGAACTGGACTTCCATGGTGAACTGGACTTCCACGGTGAACTGAACTTCCATGGTGAACTGGACTTCCATGGTGAATAGAACTCCCGTGGTGAACTGGACTTCCATGGTGAACTGGACTTCCACGGTGAACTGAACTTCCATTGTGAACATAAGTACCGTGGTGAACTGGACTCCCATGGTGAACCGGCCTTCCATGGTAAACCGGATTCCCGTGGTGAACTGGAATTCCATGGTCAGGGGTCGGCAACCAGAATAACAAGAAGAGCCATTTCTCTTTAGGAGTTCAAGAACCACCACTGCAGTCCTTAAAGAGCCACCGCATGCGGCTCTGGAACCGAAGGTTGCCGACCCCCGCTCGAAATTAAATACAGCTGTTCATCTTCTTGGATCTTTCGGTAAAGTCACGTAGAAGGGAAATAATAAAATAATAAAAATAAAACATAATAAAATAATTCTCACGACGTTTCTGCCACAACGCAAGCAGCCGTCCTCAGGTGAAGAACAGGTCTGTCGGAAAGACAGCGTCTGAATATTTAAGCTTAGATATACGCTGCCAAGCTTGGTGGTGCCCATTCAGACGCTGTCTTCCCTACAGACCTGTTCTTCACCTGATGACGGCTGCTTGCGTTGTGGCCGAAACGTCGTGAGAATTATTTTATTATGTTTTATTTGTATTATTTTATTATTTCCCTTCTACGTGACTTTACCGAAAGAACCAAGAAGATGAATCCCTGCAGTCACGAAAGATTTTAATCGAAAAATGAATACAGCTGGTACATGAAAGGGATACATGAAAGGGAATTGTAGTATCGATCAGTGTTTCTGATCACTGCTGCCATCGTTTGAGCCTGACCAGATAAACGTAAATACAGTACACGCACATTGTGATTTCGAGACAATTGTCTAAAATAACATGGCCATCATGTTTGAGACTCTTTTTTCCTAAGTTGGTGGTCCAGAACACGGCTGTGTGCATGGTACACGCGGCACGGTGATGGGGTGCGTCATTTATCATAAAAGCACTCTCTGTTTCTAGCCTGAACTAATTTTGTATCTCATAATGTACAGAAATCGAATTGGCTCCAAGCTCGGTTTATACATCATAATTTAAAAAAACAGACAATGCTCCTCCTTCACATCCACATTCTAAAAAAGAATACATCCCATCAGCCACACGGCTTTTTGGGAGTGCATTATTTCAGCGGCATTGGTTCAACGCGAGCAAACTGTGGACTGATTTAGACATTAATCATCTCATCGGCAGTCAGATTTGTTTGAACCATCGGTGTTTGAACCATCATCGGTTAAAACAAGCCAACTCTGGACTGTTTCAACAGTGTCTCATCAGAAGAATCAGCTGCAAATATCTGAACTGTTAATATATCAACTGTCAGATATTCACAGGCAAAGAAAGGGGCCCTCAGCGAGATATCGCGGTCGTTATACGGGACCTATTCCGTGTGTTTCCACAAGGGGGGGGCAACACGTGGGTAGGGCGCCACTGTGGCGAGATGTTAACTACCTCGCTGGGTCTACAGGAGGTCGAGGTTTTGAACGCGACCCTGATGCGTCCCCCCCCCCCTCCCCCCGTGGTCGCGTGGTTTTTTCTATGAGCCTCTGGTTTTTTTAATTCCCACATGAACCGCTTCGTTGACTTATCATTTGTGTTCTTGGTTCTTTCGGTAAAGTCACGTAGAATGGAAATAATAAAATCATAAAAATAAAACATCATAAAATAATTCTCACGACGTTTCGGCCACAACGCAAGCAGCCGTCCTCATTCAAACTCTGTCGTCTCGACAGACCTGTTCTTCACCTGAGGACGGCTGCTTGCGTTGTGGCCGAAACTTCGTGAGAATTATTTTATTATGTTTTATTTGTATTATTTTATTATTTCCATTCTACGTGACTTTCCCGAAAGAACCAAGAAGATGAATCCCTGCAGTCACGAAAGCTTTAAATCAAAATTTATCATTTGTGACCAGGTCGTTTCTGAAAAAGAGCTACATCGCTAAGTGTGCCTCATCTGATAACATCTAATTAAATTTTTTTCATTTAATTTTATTTGTTTGTGATTTGCATATCTTTCCTATGCTTTGCATTCCTAATTCCTATTGTGTTTTTTGTATTGTTGTTGTAACGTTCTGACCCGCCCCTACTGGGCATCTGTGAAGAAGAACTCTATAGCTCATCGGATTCATCCAGTATAAATAAATGTTTTGATTCTGACTTCGCTGAGATATCATTTGTGGCCAAATCGCTTCTGGAAAAAAAAACCTATAGCCCAGTGGGCCTTACCTGGTCAAATAAAAGAAAAATCAGTGGTTCTTAACATTTACTGCACCCCTTTGGTTTTCAATCGTTGGAACATGTATAACGTTAATAACTACATAGTTTTTTATGAAACAAAGTAGTTGTATTTACGTGCCCGTGTTCAATTTGTTTAGATGATTTACCCTCTAAAATTTGAGATGCACCCCAGCTTAAGAAGAAGAACCAAAGAGTTTAAGGGTTCCAATGTGCTCCATAATACAGGCTATTTTGGGTTAGATCGCGATATTGGTCGCGAAAGCCCTTAGGGGCCGTCCATAAATGACGTCACGCACGTAGGGGGGGGGGGTCAGACATTTGTGACGATGTGTGACGAAGGGGGGGGGGAGGGGGTGAGAAATGTGACGTCACATCAAAATGCGCAACTTTAAATAAATATAGACAACACGTTCTACTTAATTAAATTGACTTTTTGATAAATGTCTTCTCCTACAACATCAGAATGCAGCGCCACATTAAATACGCACTACAATGACAATAGTTTAAAGCGATTTGAAGCATGTTTTATATTTTTTATGGAAATGTTGTTTTGGGGGGTGGGGGCAGAGCTTTGTGACGTCATATTTGAGGTGGGGGGGGGGGTTACTTTTTGTGACGCCGTGTAACGAGGGGGGGGGGGTCAAAAATCGTCCTTAATCGCGTGACGTCATTTATAGACGGCCCCTTACGCAGTGCCAATGTGCGTTTGTGCCATAAACACATTTTAATTTCTTTTCCAAACGCGAAATTTCAACGCGCGGCTCACCCGCGGCGGGGCACCCGTAGTCACGAGACTCGAGGGGAAAGCCCCTCCCCCACGTGACCCGCGTGTTTACTTCAGAGTCGGGGTCGTCCGCTTCAGCGGTTCGCTCCGAGTGGCAAAAAAACTTTGTAACAAAATAATTTCTCGAACGTAAACGCCAGAGCCACTTTGTTTTTTTTGCTTTCCGCGTCGCCCTCGAGTTGCGTTGTTGGCGCCGCGCCAATAATATGGATAAGCTGAGGCGAGTGCTCAACGGGGAGGAGGATGAGAACGAGAGCGGCCTGGTCGGGCAGGTGAGCCTACGGTCTTGCCTGTTTCGCCAGCGGGAAAAGTTGCATGTCGTGCCCCGCCGCCAAAGCATCGTGCCCTGGTGGCGGCGGGCGCTGTGCACGGACCTCTTTGTTTTACGAGGGCTGTGACACCCGGTAAATTGTATGGTTGAGTTAATCTCCGGATATTTTGTTTGTTTGTTTGCCAAAATGTAAATGCCAGTACAATCAGGGCCTAAGTGTGTCTCTGCTCGCCTTCGATCCGGGGGCTTTGGAGGCGAAGGGGTTGGTGTGTCACGCAGAGATTTGTTAAACTCCAGAACCCGATTCGGCTGCGAGGTGGTAGGTACAGCAAGTAGGGTTTTTTTAATCCGCGTGAGTCTTAGAGTGATGTTACCCCTCCTCACCCTCGTGTGAGTGATTGGTGTTTCCATGTGCAGTACTCCGTTTGGCAACCCAGACATTGGTGCGTTCATTGATAAATAACAGGATATTGGAAATGTAATCGCATCCGTTGTTTGGGATAGTAGTTGGACTGCATAAAGACTCGCCCCTCCACCACAGGAATCTGGTATTTTGGCTGACTTGGAGCTGTAAGCGACTAAATTGAACGGGAAACAATTTTGCGTGAATGCAATGAAGTCTCAAGACGAGATACAAAAAACACAAGCCGGTTCCGCAGTGATTTGGAAGGCTTCCAAACTTGCTGGACTGCGAATGGGAATGCTTGTGACAAGCTGAGATTATCTTAAAAGTCTGCGGTAAGAATGAGGCGTTTCTACCTTAACAATAACTTGGCAGACAATTGTAATGGCAGTAAATACTCCGTTAGCAGAGGGGAAAATGCAAGTCTCCGAGAAAGCTATTCAATGAGGGAGAACAAGTGACAATGACGATCCCATTAGACAAATCACGTCGTTTGCCCTTATTCTCAACTTACGTTGGTATTGTGGAATCATTAAACGCGCTCTGTTTTTTAGCCCTCTTTCGCAAGTGTGCAACGTGTACTTGAAGTGTCGATTGAGTGTTTGCGTTCATGATTTGAATTGTTTTTTCTTTCCCCCTGATGTGACCCAACGGTATTGGGGGGCAAGGGTTGATGGATCACGCAGAGATGTTTGAAACTTCCTAACCCGCTGGGTCACGATGCGACCATGGACATGGGAGCACGGTACACCAACTGGTGTTTTTGCCGAATACAATTTGCCTGGAGCTCTTAAGTGTTATTAATTTGGTGTATTTTCTTAAGCTATTCCAGTTTTTGACCACATACCAAACACTAATGAATGGAATTTTCCTAACCTCACAATGTAAGACCCGCCTAGAAAACAATTATTTGGAGTCGGTGAGGCTTGTTAAGATGTGCATGGTGCGGGAAGGGTCAGGAATCATAGGGATTTCGTGACCGCCACACTTTGCGATCACCCTTCATTAATGACTAGAGATGGAGGCTGCTGTTCCAGCAGATTGATGGCAAGATAAGCAGTCTTAGTACTACTGGCCCTAACCCATTAGCCTACATTCGAACCCTTAAACCTTTACCCTGAGACTCAATCTTAACTCCGAACACCAAACCCCAATTCTTAACCCTGATAACTAACCATATTCTCTTAACCATGTATCCTAAACCCTTAATCATACACAAACAAAACTAAGCATTTCCCCTGAATATTTCATCAACTGAAACCCAAAGAAGGTTTGTGATAGTATTTAATTTAGGTTCTATGTAGACATTAAACATTTGTAGGGGTGGTAGTGCCACAGACGCTTTCTCATCGTCTGCGTGGACAGTTGTACGTTTTTTTAATGTACTGTACAGAAGTATGGTTCCTGTTTTTTGCCGCACCCTGTTTAAAAAGGTCTTAATATTAAAGTCAAACTATGTGTGTGTGTCTTCTCAGTTGAAGTCAAACTAAGTGTATGTCTTCCTCCGCTAATGAGTGTAGGGGTGGTGCTGATATCTGCCGGGCAACCTTGAATCGGTGGTGGAAATTCCACATTCCTATGGTTTGGGGAAAGTCATGCGTCATGAAGTGGCATACTGTACACGTTTAAGCGCTCTCTTTAATGGCTGTATCTTGTTACATGTGTACAGATGTGTGGGTGTAATGACCTTCTGAGGTTAATAGTATCCGTGATGTATTTTGTCAATGCATTATATATGACCTTTTCTCTTTCGCGACACACTTTGTTGAGGATTAGGGTAAGGTTGAGCCAGGTGAGTGCATTGTCCAGGCTTTGCCCAACCATGAGACGTCATTTGCAAATTGCATGAATCCATTTAATGCCAACATCAGTTTCCACTCTCGAAGAGCCAAGCCACGGTTGTTACGAGTGTATAACAAACATGACAGGGTACAATAATCATAACATATGTAGCAATAATTTTGTACATTGGATGAGTTTTGAAGAGTTGCGACTCTTGGTTTGAATGCAGATAAAATTATATTTCTCTTTTGACGCATTGTGAATGACCATCATGGAGCATTGTTACGTAGAGTACTTGTGCTCAAATCAGGGTGGCATTTAATGGACGAATTCCAAAAAATATTTCACCAATAGACCTGGAAGTCGCAACATGGTGTGTAATGTTAACGTATTAGGAGATTAGCATGTAAGCCATAACAAACATTGTCCCCCTTCCTGTTTTTCATGGGACACTAAATTTAGTTGGTTGGGGAATGTGTTGAGTAGAGACAAACCCGTAGACTTGCATAGAGACCCATAGACATGGACACCCACCCATAGATTATAGGGAAGATGCAGCGCCTTGCGACCTCTGGGTGAAACGCGCTTTATAAGTGTAAATTATTATTATTATATGGAGGTGCCACCGGATTAGCGAGAGACCGAGGGTGAGACCGGGGAATGTGGCAGATTGAGATATCAGGACAGTGGATGTGACTCGAGAAAAGGCACAGAATAGAAGCATATGGAGAAGGACCAATTGAGCAGCCTATTCCATGCAGTTATGGCTAATTTTTTTCTGAAAAATGGAGTAACTCCCTTTAAACAAAACGAGCTCTTGCTTGCAAACTTGAGCTTGTACAAGGCCCTTAGGCAACGAACTGCATAGCCACTAAGTTGACTCGCAAATGAATGCAGGTGATCCACTTTTCCCCTTGATAGCTTGGTCTGAAGGCTTTCTGACTAAAAATTTAAAGCCCCATTACATGATGGGTTTGGGATGCTGCCACTGGACTTGCATTCCAGGGGTCGCCGATTGATTTCATGGCGTGGCAGTTGAAACAATGGGACAAGTTTGTTAAAATCTCCCCGCCTGTGTCCGCCCAGCAGTATAAATGATAACACCATAGTTCATAGATCGGCAGATAACTTTGTTGTGGTAATGTGTGGGTACTCCCATCCCTTCCAATATGTCTGGTCAGTGTGGACAGTAACCCAAAATACACCCTTGTAAACAATTTATGAAGTTTTAGGAGGAGCACGGTATATTAATCCCATTCTCCTGACGTATAAAGGTTGATCCAACTCAAAGACAAACAGCTATTATCTTGTAGCACATGGGCTGTGTTCGGCTTGGCTGTCACAAGCACGTTTTCAGCTTCCTTCATGAGAAAAAGAGCCTTTTAAAATGCATTTACGAGCTTCCTCACAGCACTCCTGAGGAGTTGCGTTGCAATGAGGTTGTGAAGTATTGTGGGAGTAATGTTTGTGCCATAATAGCGGTTAACATTTCTTGGCAATTAAGCTTCACACGATCTGACAGCCCAGGACGCAGGCCTAGGTAAATATTTATAAGATTAGAGCTCTTTCACTAAAGACATATGCGCCAACGACTGCATAAAAAAAACATGTTAAATTAGTTTCTGCCCCAGGGTGGTTGGGAAGGCGTAAGCTCCCCTTACGGCACGGATTAGCGGTCACTTGAAAGGATCTTGGAGGCAACTCTGTGACATCCGCTTCTGTGGGCGGTTCTGCAATGCGAAGGGTTGCGCCGCTGTGCGAGCAATTCCCAATTGACATTTCGGGGGGCATGGCGTGATGGCAATAGCACAATCGGGATACAATAGTGGGGGGTTGGGGAAAGATAGAATGCATTTTTCAAAAAAAAAAACGTGGAGTGTGGCCAGCGTACGTGTGACTGCATGCAAGCTTTGCCTTCTGCAGCTCGTGTAGCTGTCTGCGTTCCGGAGAGGTTGTGCCACAGACGGGTGTTACATTTCGTTATCGTCGAGCGTGGATGTCAAAACCTGACACCGCCTTGCAAATTTAAAATTGGTCCCGAAGAAGGATTTACACTTTTACAGCCTGCGGTTATTGTCAATAAAATATTTAAGGGGGGGGCTGTAAATTGCTGAAAGTAATGTCACAGTGGCAATACGAAAGCGCTCGCAGAGAGGGCATTCCGAATTAAAAATGCATGCAAGGAAAGGGCTGCTTTGTCAGCTATACAAAATCAGCTGTTTCAAATTTGTTACCGGGCTACGTTTTGACACATATACATGAAAGCTTGTGCTGGTCAGCACACTAGCATTTCAATCCAGAGGTGGCCGGTTCGATGCTATCTCGTCGGCACGGCAGTTGAAAAGATGGTGGGGATCCTGTCTCTGTCCACCCAGGAGTGTAAATGGTTACACCACAGTTTCCCGCATCTCTGAGTAGTACGGTTGGCTGCGTACAGGGCAAAGGAAGTTCTACATACATGCATTCAGTTAGCCATTCGGCATCTGTGAAAAAGAGCTTCATAGCTCATCGGATTCCTCCATTGTAAACACATTTTGATTCTGTAAATTGTGGAGACTTTCAATGCTTCCATGAAGAATAGGCTAAATACCTAATATAGGGTCATTCTAGAGCTCCCTCTCGTGAGTGGAGGCCCTTCCGCCAGTAGTGGAGTGAGTAAGGTATTGCAGGATGGCACTTTTACCTTTTTTTTTTAAACATGAAAACTGTGAAGAGGAATTGCACAACTTGTAAGCACCGAGGAAGGGACATTAATGACTACAGTTCTTGTCATGAATTCACGTCTGCCATTAGGTTATTTTTTCATCATCATCATCATCATTTAAAGATCCTTGTTTGGGGATTGTCAGAGATGACTATAACCGCAGCATCTCTCAAATCCTCCTTAACAGGATCTTTATAACCCCCATGCCTGCCTGCCCCTTTTCGTTATTACTTTTCTTGTGTTCTTTCAAACAATGGCCCTCACTTCATTTAATAAGTTATGGGCGGCATGCTGCGAATGGGCTTAACATCTCCTCACACCTGTAAATTCAGCCCATCTTCCTGTTTGGCATGAAGCCCAATTGCCCCATGATACTGAAAGAGTTCAATAAAAAAAACCCTGTTGATAATGCATTTTAGCTGGGTGGAGGTGGCGCAAGTTTGTAATCCAGCATTGGAGGCGACGGTTGGTGGATCACTCAAACGTTGCGAAACTCCCCTCCGTTAGGCGTCGAAGTGTCATACCCTGGCTGGCCAGGAGAATTCCGTACAGCAACAATGCGGATTCCACCTGTTACATCTGAATGGATTCGAGTGTTTCTCCCTCACATGCGTGGGTTTGCTCCGGGTGCTCTGGTTGCCTCCCACGCCACGCATTAATTGGCCGGTGACGCCTCAATTGATAGAGGACTCCAGAGCGCTGGCAATTGTTGCTGCCTTCAAGCTTGTCTCTGTACGCGAGCGAGCAAATCCTGTGTGATGCGTTAACATTTTAAACTTCTTCTTCTTCTTGGTTCTTTCGGTAAAGTCACGTAGAATAATCATGAGGACGGCTGCTTGCGTTGTGGCCGAAACGTCGTGAGAATTATTTTATTATGTTTTATTTTTATTATTTTATTATTTCCCTTCTACGTGACTTTACCGAAAGAACCAAGAAGATGAATCCCTGCAGTCACGAAAGCTTTAAATCTAAACTTATTCTTATTATGCTCGATGTTGGTAAGCCAAACATTCACTGGCCCCTGTGCATTCATGTGATCTTAGGATTTGGCAAAGGACCTTGTGTGAATGAATACACCACGAGCATAATAAAAACGGCTTCGTGTTCATCTCCTTTGTAACCGTGCCCCGTGATGTTGTTGCCCCGTGCGACTCGCCACCCGCCGACCCCCTACGCCCAGATCGTGGAAGGATCCACGCTGAGTTGGGGAACACGCTTGAAGTCCTTCGTTGCGTGTTTCATCTTCGGAATCCTGTGCTCCATCCTGGTGAGAGAAGCTGCTGCATCTTCGTTCACATGGCGACACGCACATCCTACCGCAACCATAATAGAGGTTTTTTTTGGGTTAGCTCACGTAAATATATAAATGTGTCGTTAAACCCGCCACCAGCCGAAACAGCCAACTAGTAAGGGTTGTCACGTAAACAGAAGGTGCCAATTCGATACTAGTACAGCAACACTGGCGTGTTGGAGAGCCAAGCCACAAGATTTACAATCTGAGTACGACGTTTCGCCACTATTTACAACCAGCTTCATCAGGCGACAGCCGGATTTGCGGAGAAGTCCTCCTGTTTCGTTCCTTATATAGAGGCGTAGATGCGGTGACCACACTACCGCCGGGCGCGGTGGTGACGATGAGAAGGGTTAACTGCAGACCAACAGATGTGTACCGAGGCGCATCTGATAATTTTGTGATCGCTCTTCGTGTGGCTGGGTTTGAGCAGGCTGCCACAAGCTGGTTTAAACTGACAGCGGCAAAATCTGGCGGTTTCCAAAAAACTGGCTTTTTTTTACTGGTTCATGGTAGCTTTGTTTTTGGAAGCCACGTCATGCAATGCCTGGTCAAAACAAATAAGCTCATGGTCTTGCATGCACATCAGTTCTTAAACGTTTGAAAATGTTATGGCGATTGTATTATGTGTCCTAGGATATAATATTCGCGATAATCTCGTTTTTGTTAAATGTTTCATTTTGAGACCAAATATTGACGAAACAACAGCAATTAAAGTTCGCAATACTCATTAAAGTTAGCAAAATATAGCTATTTACCCATGAAATGTGGGCGTTTTCATATGTTTTATGGAGTAACTGACTACGTAATGGCATCACTTCTGCATTTCATTTAGAATGTATTTAGTAATGCCTCGTTTAACGAACAGCATGTGCATCATTCGTATTATAGATCATAATATCATTATTAGAAGATTTATGGCAGGAATACGTTTAGTGAACTGCAGTTAAAGACAGTTTAAGTCATCTTTATTCGTACTGGAAGAACATTAGAGCATACCAAGGATGCATTAAACTTGTGAAATCTAATTACAAAGTTAAGGGAAACTGATATAGCGATGATCGTCATGTTGTGGCATTTAGTCGTATTATGTAAGACTGTACGCTTGGCCAGATTTGCAAGTGTCTCTACGAGAGATAGTCTGTAAACAATTGACAGGTAAGCGTACACACATACACATGTGTGTGTGTGTACGCTTTCAGTTTAACATTCACCTCTCCTGCAGTTGGCCGAACTGTCACAAGGATGACGATTTAAAAATGTATTATTTTGTTGTTTAGTCTCTTTTGTATTATTCTTTGGGTCTTTGTGTTGCGATCGAAACGTCGTAGTTTTTTGTTATTTTCTTTGAACCTATCTACGTGACTTTTACCGAAAGATCAAAAGAATATGAATTCCTGCAGTCACGAAAGCTTCAAGTCAAGATCTCTTTTGTATTGTACGGCTCATTACATATGTCTGTTTTTCATTGTAATTCTGGCAAGTTCTGTCTCATTAATTGAATCGGCCTGAAAGTATCATCATGTTATAAAATTGTTTCCATGAACAATTGTTTTTTTTACTCGCACAATTTGATGCACATATCGTGAACGTCAACGCCGTTCTGATGGGAGAATTGTCATCGAGTTATTCTGTTTAAACTACTTTCTGCCACCAGGTGTCATCACGGTATTGGTCCCAAATTTGATCATCGGGCAAAGACCCATTTTTAAAAAGGGTTTACCCTTTTTTTCATGCTTGTGGCAGGCTTTTATTTTGTCTTATTCCCCCAACTTTATTTTATTGTGCTAGTGATGCCATGTCATAGATGATGCATCCAATCAGATGTCTCGCATAAGCGTGCACTCCTTTCATGGTCGAGAATGGCCCACGGAAGAGGATACAACAGAGCTACCTCTGAGTTCTCTTCAAGTTACCTCTGGTCTACACAGCATGGAAAAGGACTTCCCCACCCTCCCTGCCACAGGAAGTAATGTTCATCACGTGACAATCAAAAGGGTATTGTTAAGTGTCACACGTAGATTTTAGCTACACTAATTCGCCGAACCAAATTTAACGTGATATTATACTGGTAGGAACTCACTGGTTCCACCAGCCCACAGGGGATTATTGTGTCCCTCCGTCGTGCAGGGAGGGGCTGGGTGGGGAGGGAGGGGGTGGGGAGGGAGGGGCTGGGTGGGGAGGGTGGGGAGGGGCTGGGTGGGGAGGGTGGGGCTGGGTGGGGAGGGGTTGGGTGGGGAGTGGCTGGGTGGGGAGGGTGGAAGGGGTGGGGCTGGGTGGGGAGGGGCTGGTCATCCCGTTGTGCCTTTATAAAACTCAACGTTTAACCTACTCACGCCGGCTTGTGCCCGCCCTCACAGTCGGGCATATTTGCGGAATACACCACGCCGCCATTGACCCTGGCCATTGACCGAGCAACCCAACGTTCCTACCAGCTCCCTCCGCAGGAATGTGTTTTCTGCATAGTTATTGGTGGCAAGGCTGAGACCATCAACTCCCTTATACAATACTTGAGAACCAGGATTCATCACAGGCTGCTGCCTGGATTTGAACCTAGGATTTGAACGGTGCCAGCTCTGTGCTTTGACATCTGGGCCACACTTGGTCTGCCTTCTTGGTCCTCTTTCTCCACTCGTATTTTTCTCCTGGGCCATCTGCACATCCACTCCTCAGTTCTTCATATCTCTGGCTCACCTCTTCGAAACGCCTCTTCCTAGGCCTGCCCCCCGGTGCTTTGCCCTGGTGCTTCCTTGCTCCTAACCTTTCTTCCAATGTCCGTTTTATTTTATTATGTAACATCCCTGCCATCTGAGTCAACCATCTTATTACTGGTCCAACAGATCATCTATTTAATTAATAAAGCCTTTTATTTTTTGAGCCATCAAAAAAGACTGCTTGACAACTTTAAAGGAAGGTGGGGGGGGGGGGGCATGCAGTGAAAGGAAGAGGAGAACGCAAGATTGTACAGGATGGAGGGAGTTGAAGCCAACGATACTGCCCTCGAGCAGAGAAATACAGACATAAAAAAACGAAGCCTTTGTTTGTGAAACTATTCAACTCTGAAATGAAGTAATGTTCTGAGCGTGCTTGCCATTGCTTGATCTTTAATCCATGGCTCTCCTTTCCCCCATCACTCTGGGACAGGGCACTGTGTTCCTGTGGTTGAAGAATGGGCTCATCCTCTTTGCTGTGTTTTACACGCTGGGGAACATCTGTGCTCTCTGTAGGTAAGGTCACATCACAGCTGCCTTGGCCTTGAGTGGGCAACATACAGCCTCTCGGCCAGAAGCCCAGGGCCTGCTTTTTGTGTTTAGTTTGTTGTCCTTCCCCCGCACCTCCAATTAGTACGATTGGCTTCGTACTGTGCGAAAGAAGTTAAACGTACATACACGCGTGTTGCGCGCTTTGCGTGCTCGCTCGCTTGCCTGTGTGACCTTGGTATGTTCCCCCCCACAGCACCTGCTTCCTGATGGGCCCTCTCAAGCAGCTGAAGCGAATGTTCAATCCGGCGCGGGCCATCGCCACCAGCGTCATGCTGGTGAGGCCACTCTTGCCGCCATCGCATAGTCGTCGTCATCAAATCCTATCACATCATTGGAACGTTTGGTATTTCCGCCATTCTTATCGCGCAGGGGTCGGGCAACCGGCGGCTCCGGAGCCTCGCGCGGCTCTTGACGGCAGAGGTCGCAAACGGGTTTTGATTCCTTACCCGTACCCGTACCTGGCAGCACCAGGGTCGCGAACGGGTACCCGTACCCGTACCCTACCCGATACCCGGCTACCCGTACCCAGCCGGGTATCGAGTAGGGTACGGGTTACGGGTACCCGATTGCGACCTCTGGGATGAAGCCATCTTGCAGGCCCGGGTGGGTTGATTCTAGGAACTTGAATTGTGAGAAGAGACAAGACGTTGGGAAATGAGTGACAAACGGTGACTCACCAGTGACTCACGGTCTACCCGTACCCGTACCCGGCCGCACCAGGGTCGCAAACTGGTACCCGTACCCGTACCCGGCTGGGTACCCGGCTGGGTACGGGTAGCCGGGTATCGGGTAGGGTACGGGTATCGGGTACCCGGTTGCGACCTCTGCTTGACGGACTGCCTCGTGACGTGACGTATTTATGTATTCACATGCACTGGGGCTCTTAAAATATTGAGTTTTTTACCGAATTCGAAAAAACTGCCTCTTGTTATTTTGGTTTCCGACCCTTGTTATAGTGCAAGGCCCATCACAGAGTCTGTGTTGTACAGATAGAGTCTGCAGTCTTTTACCCTTCTATCTGGCAACAAAACTGACACCTTTTTTACAAGGCGTCATGTTTGCATAGACCACAATACCTGCAGCCATAATGCAAACAAAAAACATAACTCTGATAGGTGTCAGTTTTGTTGCCAGATAGAAGGGTAAAACAACAATTATCATATTTTTTACTGGCAAATGAGGTTCCAATGGTGAGTCTGCAGTCGTTTCGCAGGAGGGGGCGACATTGCTATGTGTTTTCCCCAGTTGAGTCATTTGCGGGTACATTTTACAAATGTATCAAATTTGGACCATGATGCTGGCACACCATGGCCCACTCTGCAATCGTCATTGTGTTGTTCCTTTCATTCAGGGTTTCCCACTGAAGGATTATTTCGCCTTGAGATTCCATATCGCCTAAATGTTTGATTAGTCCCACATCACCTTAACCACAATTGGGCCAACCCGGAGTGTCTCTCATCGTCCTCTCTACTGATGTTTCATCTCCGTGTGTGTTTATGTGGGTGGAGCGGTAGAGTGGTTTGTGCAGTGTTTTGTAACTTCCCAGCCATGGACACCATCGGTGCTACATGTCCTGACCCTCCGCTGGGTCAATTGAGTTTCAAATGAGTACCTAATGTCGCGTGATGTTTTCAGCACTGGAGAGACAAACCTGGTCGGGCTTGATGTTGGCCTCGCCACGCCATCTTTGCCCATTCCCGCCTTAATAGGTGCTCGCTAACACCACTTGCCCCAAACAGTCTGTTAAGGCGATAACGGGGGATCTTTGTCTGTGTATGATTATATTTGGCTTTGTGTGTGTGTGTATGCAGTGCTGTCTGGTGTGCACGCTCTGCTCTGCCTTCTGGGTAAGTGCGATGGTGGACTAAGCCTTGATGTGGTGGGCACCCCACAGTGCCGTGGCCAATGTGCGGCACTGCTTTCATCTGTCTTAAATACCGCTCGGCTGCCTTGGCGCTTGCTGTGTCAACACTTGCCAGTGACCAAATCGCCTAGAATGCATCAGATCTCGGATTCTAAGCAGGGTTGAGCCTCAAAGCTCAATCGTTACGTGCCTTATGCACACGTACGTGCCTACGCGCATTGAGTTTTGGCCTGCGTATGTTTATGAACCGCATTGATGCACATTCAAACCGCTTCATAGCCAATTGTTATACGCGTCATGTGGGCGTGGTTAAGGTGACCAACGCCAACATTGTCCATTGAGTAATTTAATATAATAATAGGGTTTCACCCCTTTTTTCTGGCAACAAAACTGAAACCTTTTAACAAGGAATTCATGTCTGCATTAGCCACAATGCTTGCAGTCAAAATGCAAACAAAAAACACGCTGTGATAATATATACATTGTCCTTGAAACTGATTGGCCCACACCAAGGGACCAGAGTTTTGTTGCCAGAAAAAAGGGGAAAAACCCTATTATTATATTTTGGTACTGGCAAAGGAGGTCTAATGATGACATTGAGTAATTGTTTCACAAGTGGCTAAGGCGAGCTGGCTGGCTGGCTGATGAAGGATCGTGGGTGGATGACGATAACCCGGCACTAATTGTGCTGTCTGCGTTGTCTGTTGAGCTCTTGCCAATGTGGGTTTCTTGTCCATGTGTCCGCCGTCTCACTTGTGTCGTTTTTGTCTGTCTGCAGTGGAAGAACAAGCCTCTGGCACTGCTCTTCTGTGTCCTGCAGTTCCTCTCCTTGACCTGGTAAAGATGATATCTGCCCATGGGCTCTGCCACCAGTGTCTGCAAAGGCAGTGGTGGTGGTGGTTAGCATGCTCTGTTGTGAGCCTGGCGACCTGAGTTCAAATTCCCGGCCACGGTTAACGGCAGTGGTGATTGCTGAAGTGTGGGTTGACAAGTTGTATTGAAGGAGGTTCCCCAGGACCCAGTTGAGCAGTCTGGGTTGACCCAAACTGATCAGCGTGAAGTATGGAGAAAGGTGCCTAGTGCATATGAGACTACGAGTGTTGTTATTCGTGGACACGTTTGCGTATACTTTCAGATTACAACAATTCTCCAATATTGGAGTTATTTAGTTATTTTCAGCACAATTTTGAACTTTTTCTCATTTTCAGACCTCCATCTATTCTGTACCAATGTAAAATGTCTTCATTCAGCATGAAAAACGGGACAAAAAAAATCGGATTGTCCTTATTTTCAGCTTTTTGAGATTAATCCAAAAATCGGGAATGCATCTCAAGGGTGCGCATATATCCAGTGTCCACTTCGTCTGTTAAATGTTATTGTTCTAACAAGTAAAAATGTTTCTGCTCAATCGTGTCGTTATAATGTCTAGAGCCATAAACGTCTTCCACCTGACACCGCCAAACAAGCCAAGTTGTCACGCGGGCAAATGTCCCAATTGATTTTGTATTTCAGAAAAAACTAATTATGTTGAAAAGAAAGGAAACATTTAGATAATTCTGTACGCTGTTGCTTTTCCGCACATTCTGCCACGTGACGACTTGCTTTGTTTGGCTGTGCCGGGTGGTAGACGCTTACAGCTCCAATTGGCGTGATACGCGAACGATCTGGCCTAATATAAACCAATTACAAATCGCAGTCTTGATCGTGAAAGCCTACAAATGGAATTAGTCTGACAAGCGTAATAAAGGTATTTCTGCAAGTCGTTGTTGCTATGATAATGCCAGTGTGTACTTGGCTTTACATTAGCGGCGGCAGCGCGGCCAAATCTAATGGGAGTGTCTTTATGGTCCTTTGCCAACAGGTACAGCCTGTCGTACATCCCCTACGCTCGGTAAGCGCCTGCATTCACTTCTTTCACATCGACACTGGTTTCCCCCCCCCTTAAACACACAGCAGCGCGGTTTGATTCCTCGCTGAATATTTTATGGGCTCTCGCTGGCTGACCCGGAGTCGGCGGCACGTGAACTCGGAGCCACAGCTCCTTTTGCGGGGAGGTCTACTGGATGTGGTGTGCCTGGTGCGGGCATTTTTGCCGCGTCACTGACCCGGACAGGTCTGGCTGAAATGAAGCCCTGGATAGCGGTGTTCACCTAGCAAGCATAAATACGATGTCTTGTGATAGAAAAGACAAGGTTAGTTGAAGACAAACGCCACACTGCCCTCAATATAAAAAAATAAATCGGTGGGGTTCTGTAGGTATGTTTGTTGAACTTCTCTCGCATCGTACTTAGCCACAGATGCTAATCGGAGCTGCAATTGCCGCTCTTCATCGGAGCAATTTAAGGGAATGTTTCTTGTTTCGCCCCCCCCCTCTCTCTGTTCCTCTGTCTCCCACTGCCACCCCTCTCTCCCATTCCCCCCCCCCCCTGTCTCCCATTGCCCCGTGCGCACACCGCTCTTGCTTGTATTCCCCCCCCCCCATACCTGTTCCCCTCCCTCTGTCACCCCTCGTCCCGTGCCCCCCGTGTGTATCCTCCAACAGGGACATGGTGAAGAAATGCTTCACGTCCTGCCTGGCTTAACCGCAGTCAAGGGGCCGTCAAACATTCCCTCCACCACCCCCCGCAAAGCTCACGGATTGTACCCTCCCACGGGGGCATCATCAGCAGCCACGATCAATCCACTGCCGAGTGAAGGCCTCACCAAGTCGTCGCGCCACCTCTTTCCGATCCTACGCACGAGCCGATCTCGTCGCTCCATCTCCCCGGGTGAACGTGCTGTCGCCCTGTCGTTATTGTTGACCGTCGGCCGCCATCACTTTCCTGCCATGACGTGTCTTTTGGAGGGGAAGGCCTGCTTACTTCCTTAAAAGTCTTAATGGTGTCTTTAACCCGCGTACGTTTCTCCCGCTGCGCGTAAAGACATAGCAGCCATGCCCAAATGAACGTATTGGCGGTACACCAGTGCGCGGAGTGTAATTTTATTTTGCTAATTTTGGCCAATACTTATTTATTTTACCGCGATTCGCAACCCGATCAAAAAGTCTTGCCTGGGTGGTGCGTCAACATCAGTTCTGGTGATGTCGAAGCAGTTGTAAGGCGAATGTCCGTTGAAATTTAGATTTTAGACTGGTGTGTTATGCTGCACCGGTGTACCGCTAATACGTCCAAATGCTGGTTTGGACATCTGCTACGTGCTTCAAGGGAAACTTGCTTACAGACGCCAATGAAGCTCAGTGTTCTGTCGCCTTAATAACGGTTGTGTTTTATAGGCTTATGCTGCAGTGTCAGATATGTTGAGCTGCATGCAGCACATATACTCAGAAGGCCCGGGCTCTGCAGGGCTCGACGAATCAACGAGGTTCATTCTTCACACTGACTGTGGTGTTTAGTTCAGCTTTGCCGATTCGTGCTGTCTGAAAGTGGCCTTTAATGACGTCGCGCCTTTAGATAATCATGATTGATTCCACACACACAATGTTAGACATTTATACGTGAATGGTTTTTCGTGGCTGTACAGAAAGGCACACAATGTTACATTTTCACTGAAAAAGCACACATTTAAAAGTTACAAAAAATGTTGAGGTGACTGGGTGGATCAGAGCATTTAAGTACTGTGCCAGCAATGCTAATTTCTTGGGTTCGAATCTAGGTTCACAAGTACAGTGAGTTAATGTTCTCAGCCTGGTCACCAAAAACGGCACAAAACATCGCATTGAATTCGATTTTGCACATAATTTGGCTAAATGTCGGCTATGATAATACAAAATATCGCTCTGTCACGCGATGAGCATCACTCAAATTGGCAGAGTGGGTGAAAAAATTGGTTCCCACTTCCGCATACACCAGAGGTCACTTAAGGGGATCTAAGCGGTAGCTCTCCGATGTCCGCTTCTGTGGGCCGTTCTCTAACACGAAGGGTCGCACTGCTGTGCGAGAGATCGTTTGGATACTTTGTCTCACGACACAATGGCGGTTGCACAGTCGGGATAATATGTGTCAAAATAAAAAAAACGGTGTACAAACATCAAATATAAGAAGTATTTAGGACATGTTGCCTTCTTTTTGTAACGAGGAATCCAAAAAAATACAAAAAGCAGAGTGGCTTTATTTTTACGGTATATTTTTCATGAAGGCCTTTTGAGCGCTGTTTATATTTCTATGTGCACAATATTTGTAGAAAGGTATTTTAATAACTTGCTGCGATGCATTTTGAATAATCTTAAAGATATATTGAGCTCATCGATGCGAGTGTTGTCAATTCACCAGCTACGAATACGCGAGAGGAGCTTTGCTTTCAAAGGCTGGGGGTAACCTCTTCTGCGGGGGAGAATATTCGTGTAACAATCGGCAGCACAAACTGGGACATCGAAACGCTGTACACCACAACCACAAAAACCGACGCAGGAGTGTATAACGTAAGTCGATCATTTGCGTATAATTTGCATCGTGTAAATACTGTAGCAGATGGGTGCATATTGAGCCTGTGAATTGTAATCGATGAGACTATATTCGTACATGCCGAATAGTTTGGGCTTTGGCCATCCAGTGGTTTAGTAACACGTGAAATTTCTTTGCGCTGATTAGCTTGCCAAGGAACTGTTCGTTACAGTCCTCTCAATGGTAACTGCTTATTTGCTTTCACATTCACACACTTAGCGGTGTTAATCTCTATTTTAACTACTTACATTGTTGTTTTCACCGTAATTATTTCTGTTGCATTATGGTGTTCCTTGTACGTTGATGCCAAAATCACGTCGTTCTTAAAGTGCGGTAGTTTGTAAAGTGTTATTTTGTAAATGCCTCATGTTAGAAACAAGTCATTTACGCCTCATTGAAAGATCACTAAGGGGTGCCATGGTGGCGAGGTGTTAACTCCCTCACCTGGTATGCAGGAGGTCGTGGGTTCAATCCCGACTCTGATGCCTGCTGTATATTTGGAGTTTGCATATTCTCCCCATGGTTGCGTGGATTTTTCTCCAGGTTCTCCGGTGTTTCACTCCATATTTAGAAACATTCGTTTAGAGTATTTGGCCGCTATAAATGTCCACATGATAAACCGCAACTTGGTTAAGCTATCATTTGTGGCCAGGTCGCTTCTGAAAAATAGCTCTATCGCTCAGTGGGGCCTTACCTGGTAAAACAACAATAGTTTAGTTTAGTACTGTATTCATGTCGTGAGCATCGCTAAGCACTACAGCTCAAGCACACGCAGTGATCCAGTGCCCTAGACGCAGCCATCTAGAGCAAGCAGCTGAGTGGTCATCATCATCGTCATCATCAGCCATGGTCAATCCCTGATGCACAAAGGCCTCCCCAAACCGCGGCCACCTCGCGCTTGAGCAATCCCAACGAGCACCTTGCACAAGAGATCGGGAAAATACTCGGAATATGATACGTGCGGCATTAGTCTTGCAAACAGCGGACTGCTGGGCACTATCCAGTTGTGTGCGGGTTTTATCTGCTAGATCACTTGTTATACGTTCAATCCATGCGTAGGACTACTTCATTCACCCGCAGGCGTTCTGCCAAATATTTTCCGTTCAGCGACGTTTACACACTCGCATGCCAACTTTCGCGTGCTGACCGCACACGTTTAGGAGTGCCCGTTCGTGAAAAGAGCAAGCCACGTTAGCTGAGGCTGCAGGTGGTCCCCCTTATCCCCTTCTTAATTTGCACCCTTATCGAGAATATGGAATGTGGGGAATGATAATTGATTTTTTAATAATGGTCCCTGACCTCCACGGCGCAGTAGACCTCCCCGGAGTGTTTTATTCAGTCGTGGAAACTAGCAGCAACTCGTTAGTCCCGGACTGGGTGGACACCGGGCCAAGCAGTACGTCGATTGTTGCTTCAAGCCCGGCGGCCTCTCTGGTTAATGCAAAAAAAATATTTCTCAAATCAGCATCAAGGCAGTGCCTGTCTCCCGTTTACAGCCATGAGAAAAATTGGACGCTCCACATTTCTATGGCGAAGGTGATTAAATCCGTAGTCGAACCACCTACCAAAAACAAAAAATGTGTACTAATTTCATCGAACCAAGTAAACCTCCAGCCTGGATTTGAACTCGCTTCCTTCCTATTGCGGCCCGCTTGCTGTGCTGCTGAGGCACGTGGCCGGTGTAATGCTGTCGGGGTATTGACCCTAAATATGCACCGTCTGCCTCGCACCGGCCACCGATGACTGCACGCCCCAAAACAAAACCCGACGCATTCCAATGTGGTTTCTGCATGCACTTAATTTGGCTACAACTCCAGCCTCGCCGAGCGTTCATCTCGCGTGGCAGTGCTGGTGGCAATTTGGTGTTGCACCTACCGCCCGGTCACTTGACCGGATTCCCCCGGGGGGGAGGGGGGGGTAGTTTTGTGGTATCCGCTTCCGTGGGCCGTTCGCTGACGCGAAAGAAAAAGCCGTGCGGGAGATGCGGACGGATGCTTTGCTTTGTCACGCGGGACCAATGGCGCTGTTGGGACGAAATGGTCGGGGAAAGTTTCAGGAGCGTTTCGGTGGTGACGTTGCCGAGCCCGGGTGCAGTTTGTCCAGCCGAAAACGTATACGAGAACAACATTCCAGGAGCGCGCGTCCACAAGCTCGCGATCGCAGCCGTATTGTTTGAAAATGAAAATGTTTGTTACAAGTTACCGTTTATTGTGCACCCACCGAAGGCGGACCGCTTCGTACTCGATCCTCACCCACCTTTGGTGTGATCACGTAACGATTGCCGCTTTAGTCTTGGGAGCGGCCGAGGATGTGGAGCATCGCACCTGCTTTAAGAAGTGCAGCGTGCCGCCATGCTGCGTCGTCGTGCGCGCATCGATTAGGGGTTTGGCAACCCGGTGGGTGTGCCGCGCACGACGATTGACCGGACGTTTCGCTCCGCTTGCTGGGAGCTTCTTCAGGAAAGAAAAACCAGAACAGGCACACGGGAGCGATATGCGGCGCGGCCGAGGAGGCAGTGTGCGTGTGTTGGGTATTCAAGGAGGCAGCTGCACAGCTTGACACGTGGTGTGTAAGTCCACGCCTGTTTTGGAAGTGCACCCCAAGTTGAACGCACATTTGTGGTGAGACCCAGTGGCATAAATAATGCAAAAAGGCAGTTATGCTCTTGACGTGGGATGTTCAACCTGGGCAGGAGTAGAGAATTGAGTATTTGACAACTTTGTATAAAAACACTTTGTATAGTTTACATTTGTGGTTGAATTTAATATTTGAAAGCTAACAAGGACCTTGTTCTCTGGATTATCGCCCCCCCCCCCCCCCCCCCCCATTTTAAAGCGACATTTATGGTGCGGCTTATAATCCGGTAGAGGGTGGAGGGTGAGAAAGACCTGATTTGTATAATTTTATTTGACACGGAGCACAAGTTTGGAGTGAGTCGTATCCTTTTAGGAGCGTCTTGCAATCCAGAACTTATAGTAGCTGTCCACATAGGAGCCTTTGTTAAATTTGAGTGATAATTAAGGATAGTTTGCCTTCAACGGAACTCTAATTGTTTACCTAAGGTTTTGTTGTTATGGTCAATGTAAGCTTTGTGTAGTGTGAAGTGCTGGAAGTGAATATCGTGATGGGCAGAGTTGAGGCCTGAATGGATGATTTGATTTCCTATAATTCGGTTTATTTTATTACCATGATTCGCCAAACTAAGTCGGGTTACACTTTTGCTGTAATAATCACAAGTTGATTCTACATTTTCAGTTAAAGCGATTATGATCAACCTTGCATTGATGTTTTTACATCGCTTGCCGTGTTTTTTATAAATTATTTTTTGGGGGGTTCCATATGTCCGTTCGCAATCGAGCAGAAAACAAATTATTCTCCCATGCTTTTCGCGCAATCATTTTACCAACGGGAACGCGTTCGAACGTGCCTCTGCAAGAAAAAACAACAGCTCCAATTTCCCCGTTGTATTCGCCTCCTCCGCTCACCTCTCGCGAGGCCCCAGAGAGTTGCTACTGTGAGCCCTGACAGAGCGCGGTCGAGTTTAGGTCTGCCCGGTCCACCGCCCGTGTCCACAAATGCGCACCCACCCTCGTTTCGCGAAGATTTTGTTGCTGATAATCCGTCGGGGGGCACCCACCGTTGGCACAAATTATCCCCCCAAAAAAATCCCAATTCCCTGCAGCGGTTGTCAAGTGGTGGGTTGTGTCAAAGGATGTTTAATCTTCACCCTCAATGTTATTCTTCAACAGGCGCCGGACCAAGAGATCACAGACGCGCGCGTTCGTTCGTGTGTCTGTGTGTGTGTAGCGGTTAGCGCGCTACGCTACGAACCCAGCGAGTGATTCCTGCTCAACGCCAACACTATTGACGATTATCTAAACCGGTCCTGAGCCTCCTCTAGGTTGACTCGGCCTCAATTGAGCACCTGCGGTGTGGAAAATATCGCCACTGGGGAGACAAAAGCGGCCGGGCGTGGTGCTAGCCACCCACACCCTCCTGTGCCTTCATAGGTGCTCTCCAAACAGCCCTTACCCCAACAGTCTGTTTAAGGATATACGGGAAGTACTTGCCTTCACATGCCATACCGATGTACCAATTTCCATAAGACACGACGCTTTATACACTTTACACCGTAACAATTCCGTGTACCTGCTCGTGCTTGTCTTTACCACCTCTGCAATGTCGCATTGGGTATATTTATTTAATTTTCCCTCCCCTATCGTTACTTCCCGCTAGTCGGCGGCTGTGTTGGGAATGCCGATGTTTTCACGAGTGCCTGGTTCGGGTTGTGTTATTTGCCACTCGTTGTAGTTACACTCGGCCATTTGTGCCATTGTTACTTTTTAACGAGCCGAGGGTTGTTGTTGTTGTTCAAGCCGGGCCAGCAACATGCCATAATTCACCTTCGTTGCACGTTCTTGTAAAATAGCCATTAGCAAAATAAATACTTTTAAGCAATCTGGCCTGGGGATGTGTTTTTATTGTTGGTTGTTGTTTTTCAGTCCGCTAAGTTGTAGACGCACGACTTTAACAATGCTACTGCATCTGCTTCTCATGGTGGCTGTGATATTAAACAATAGCCCTGCCGGTTTGTTTCGTGGCTCTACCGCGCATTGCTCGGTACGATGTCCGACGTTTCGCTTCACATCTTGGGAGCTTCTTCAGGAACTTATACACGCGCCCCCAACTTACTGCCAGCACGTAGAACGACGCGTCGAATGTCACTCAAAAGCAACACGCGGTACAACCCCAAAGCCACTTGGGAGAGCTGCCAGCGTGTTTCCTTCCATGTAAATGTAAGGTCCGCATGCGTGGGTTGGCCGGCTGATGACTGAACACCCCAATTGAAGCAAAGTCAACTCCACCAATAAGCTCCAAGCATTGTCTCGATTTCGGTGAAATGTTAATGTTGCCAACAATAGCAAAACGGAGTTTGCGGAGCACTTGTGTACGACAGTGTGTCTGTGTATGTTCAAGCGTCTACGGCCACGGGGCAGAATGTTCGGTGCGTCTCAATTAGCCTCTGCCTTGTCCGCAGTTCCGTGTGGTAAAAGCAATTTTGAATAGAGCAATCTTTGGAGCTCGCAAACCTGATACGGGGAGAGAGTAAATAGTACTTTGTGTGTGTCTTTGTGAGGCTGTAAGGTTATACTGCACTATTTTGTGAGCGCTCCAGTTGAGTGTGCGTGTGTATTGTACAAGCGACGGTGTAGCGCTTAGCTGGCCGCGGTACGAACCTGGCGACCCGAGTTTGATTCCCGCTCAGGGCCAACACCAGTGACGCTTTTCTGAACCGGTCCCGGACCTCCCCTAGGTCGACTCAGCCTTAAATGAGTACTGTACCTGGTGCGGTGTGTAAACATCGCCACTGGGGAGACAAAGGCGGTCGTGCGTGATGCTGGCCACCCACCGCCACGTGTACCGTAGCCGGCCTTCATAGGTGCTCGCTAACAACACTTGCCCCAGCAGTCTTGTTAAGGCTATACGGGGGATCTTTGTTTTGTTTTCGTATAGGCGTGATACGAAGACAGCGGGTAGCGTAGTGGTTAGCGCACCGATGTCCCGAGTTCAATGCCAGGTTACGGCTAGCCTAGCATCACTAGGAACGATCTGAGCTGATGCTGATCCTTGCCTCGGTCAACTCGGGAATACAAAGCAGGCTGGGCGTGTTCCTGGGCACACCATCCCCTGATACGGTCAAAATAAGTGTTCGCGAACAGCACTTGTCCCAACAATCTTCTCCGGCTGCAGGGGGGGGGGGGTCTTGTACTTTTAAAGCTGTATGCCCCTTGTGCTTTTCAAGAGCTTAATGTAGAATTTTCCTGAACTCAATAACGTGACATAATGGGTCATTGAATGAACGTTTAAAAGTCTGCCTCGGGAGATCAAACGTTGCTGCGTTTGCCAAAATGGCTCGAGGAGGGCGCGTAGCGCAATCGTCGACTTGCAACCAACGCCGTTGCATGGCTAAAAGAAGCGACATTAATTCGTTCAATTATAACAAGATCATCTGCGGCACGCCACACGGAATGAGAGGCGCGCAACGTGTTTGTTTTAACAGGCGTCACTGTCGATGGGACTCGGAAAGTTGAAACCCTGGCCGCGTGTTTGCTCAACCAATGATGCTGTTGGATAACATTGGCCCGGACTGAAGGGTTTAAAGTGATATTTGATGTGAAGTGGCGGTGGCTTTCGTCTGTTTATTAATGTGCAATTGTGGTTTTTGACGTTGGTGCCACAAAGTGCGTTGCTCTGTACACGAAGCCACTCGAGTCAAGTGCTGTTTGTGAGCAGCCATCGTAGTGGGGACGCACTAATCCCACGCTAAACTAATTCTAAACTTTTTTTTAACCGGGTAAGGCCCATTGACCTTTATAGTTCTTTTTCAGAAGCGACCTGGCCACAAATGATAGCTCAACGAAGTGGCCTATCATCATCGCGTGGAAATGTTTAGCAGCCCAAACACTCTACACGTGGAGGGAAAAGCCGGAAGACCCGGAGAAAAATCCACGGGGAGAGAGAGAGAGACACGCAAACTCCAAATATACAACAGGCGACAAGGGTCGGGATCGAACCCACGACCTCCTGTATACCAGGCGAGGAATCTAGCATCTCTGGCTTTACCCCAAAGCACCTTTTACAAACGTGTCCCCCTGCACCATGAACCCGACGACCTGAGTTCGTTTCCCGACGCCGAGCCAGAGGGGGGAGCAGGCGTTGGGTTAAGAAGATCGGGGAGAATTGCGGACATGGGGACTCAATTATAGATTGCTTGCAACAAGGCCTATGGCAATCACTTTGTCATACAGAGGGACTAACCCTGTGGAATTTCCGCGGTCTGTATCCGTGCTATCAACACGGACGACCATCGCCACGGGATCTCTAATCCGGCGGGCGAAAGCCTTTGACGGAGGACTTCTCCATGCAACCCAAACCCCGGGTCGCGTCGTAAACCCACCGCTTCTCTCCTGAAGCCCTTTTGCCGTGACCAGGAGACCTCGACATTGACATCCCGCTGCTGAACATACAGCTGCCATTATGCGCAAAACAAGGGCAGCCGATCATCATGGCAAGGACGACTTGGTTTCGCTATGCATCCGATCGCCCCGCGCGTGTGTCTGTGTGTGTGTGTCTGTCCGTGTGTGTCTGTGTGTGTGTGTCTGTGTGTGTGTGTGTGTGTCTGTGTGTGTCTGTCCGTGTGTGTGTCTGTGCGTGTGTCTGTGTGTGTGTGTGTCTGTGCGTGTGTCTGTGCGTGTGTCTGTGTGCGTGTGTCTGTGCGTGTGTCTGTGTGTGTGTCTGTCCGTGTGTGTGTCGGGGGAGCGGTGGTGTAGCGGTTAGCGCTACGCTGCGCTACGAACCCGGCGACCCGGGTTCGATTCCCACTCACGGCCAACACCCAGTGACGATTATCCGAACCAGTTGTGGGCCTCCCCTAGGTCGACTCGGCCTCAAATGAGTACCTGGTGCGTTGTGTAGTAAACAACGTCACCGAGGAGACAAAGGCGGTCGGGCGTGGTGCTGGCCACCCACCACCCTCGTGTTGCCGTTCCAGCACTTGCCCCAACAGTCTGGTTAAGGCAACACGGGGGGGTGGGTGGGTGGTCTTTGTATTTGTTTGTGGTGGTTGCCATGCCGTGGACAATGTCAACTGCGCTTGGCACGCGGGCGGAACGCGGACAAAGGGAGGCGAGAGGCGCGCCCCGCGTCGCCCTTTTCAGAGCGGCTCGCTGAGTGACAGCAGACGCTCCCAAAACCCATCCGCCAATGCCTCCTCCTCATCCTCCTCATCCTCCCGGCTTCCCCGCTGTGTTGCTGTTCCCTCCTCTCAGCATCTTGAGCCCTTGCTGCTACTGCCGCTGCACCGTGTCACATCGTCGAGTGTGCGGGGAATGATTTTTTTAAATGTTGCACCGGGCCAAGTGGTCGTGCAGGGCCCCCCATCGATTGAAGTGGCAGCAAATGGGCCGAAGATTTGACACTCGATGTGTTTATTTTATTTTATTTCCCGGAACGACTGTCTGGCTGTCTGGCTGTCTGGCATGCACGAGGGATGATCGGCTTAAGGCACTACCTGCACTGGAGGCACAATTTGCGTCGCAGGAAAGTAATCCCGTCGTGTTTGTCCCCTACATTGCTGTGGTAGTGATCATTGTTATGCTTGTTAGCCGAGGAAAGCCTCGCCCAGCCGGCTTCGTGCGTCGCGTTGAAATCACGCCCCCCTCACCCCCCTCCCCCTCACCCCCCCTCACCCTCACCCCCCTCCCCCTCACCCCCCTCACCCTCAACCCCCCCTCACCCTCACCCCCCTCCCCCTCACCCCTCCCCCTCACCCCCCTCACCCATCCCGCCATCACCCCTCCCTCCATCACTCCTCCTCCCCTCATCCCTCTCCCTCCCCCCTCACCCCTCCCGCCATCACCCCTCACCCCTCCCACCCTCACCCCTCCCACCCTCACCCCTCCCACCCTCACCCCTCCACCCCTCACCCCTCCCACCCTCACCCCTCACCCCTCCCCCTTACTCTCCCCCCTCCCCCTAACCCACCTCCATCTGCGCTGGATACGCCACCATAATCTCTAACAAAACAAGTTTTGGTCGCTGGCTGGCTGCCTGGCTGCCTGCCTGCCTGGCTGGCTGCCTGGCTGGCTGCCTGGCTGCCTGGCTGGAGTGAGAGCCAAGTCCAAAGGGCTTCACGTCCTTGGCTTTCCTCCCCTTGTCGCCGCGCGCCTTGGACCGCCCCCGGTGGCCAAAGCGACGAGTTGGGGCTCCCCCCTTTGACAAACGCCATGAGAGACGTTTTCAACAACAGTGAATAATAACAACAAACTTGATCATAGGGGTTTCCACTTTTTTCCGACAACAAACAAGCCTACGTGTTAAACTGTTAAGATGTTAGAACACCAAACATCTTGACACCTGTTTTGTTGCCAGAAAAAAGGGGAAAAACCTATTATCATATTTTGGTACTGGCAAAGGAGGTGCCATGATGTAAACAACTTATTTAAAACGCGGTTTCAATAAATGTAGTTTTCATTCAAATGTATACTCTTTGGTTCTTTCGGTAAAGTCACGTAGGTATAAATAACATTTTCACCTGAAGACGAGCGCTTGTGTTGCGTTCGAAACATCGTGATTTATTTTATTTTATTTCTACCTACGTGACTTTACCGAATGAACCAAAGAGTATGGATCCCTGCAGTCACGAAAGCTTCAAATCAAGATTCATGAAAATGTTTTCATTTACGTTCCACGTTTCGTTTTCATTTAATCATAGCGATAACGCAATATTGCAAAGAGTTACTCCTACGCAGCTGCAGTGGCTGCATTTTGCCAAGACGGAGGGCGCCTGCAGCGTTAAATGTTCGAGACCGTGAGGGTAACGACGTTGTGATTCGGGCAAGAGGAGCCGCGATGTAGAAGTGCCTCCAGGTGCGACCGTGAAGAGACGAACACAATATTGGGGCCCCACCTGATGGATCACCGCACCCCCTGAGCTGATAACGTCGTTACTACGCCACTGGTAACGTCAAGTTCAAGTTTCAAGTTCATTTATTAGGTAGAGCCCTGTGAGCCATTCGGCTCTTGAATCGGGTGCAACCGCATCAAACAAAAACATGAACAAGAAAACTTCTTAAGGTGAATATGTGACTAAGTGCAAACAGAAAATCCAAGAAAAGACAGCAAAATATTGCAGAACAAGTAAACCCGTAAAAACAAAGTTTTTCACTCTAAATCCTTTATATGCGTGGCGGCTAGAGTTCTTTCGTCCTCTGGCTTGAGATGGCTGCAATCTATGGGTCAGATGATTGTCTGCCAGTATTAAGCAATTGGTAATTAAATATTTAATTTGTTTTCCCTAAACAGTGTAAAATTTTTGAAAAAAAATTTCACGAACAATAATTGTCTGGCACAACGAGTCTGTGTGGAAAATGTCAGCTCGATTGGATCACGGGAAGTGGGTTAAAAAACGACCGAAAGATTTGCACGGTCCTAAGCAAGCAAGCAAGCACGCAAGCAAGCAAGCACGCGAACTTAATATAAAGGATTTAAAAAGCACCGTACACCAACGCTGTGTGTAAAAATCCCAATGGGATGCAAGTCAAACAACAACAACAACCACAAGACAATTTAGATTAAGACCATCAGTCTAACTCTGTACTACAACAAACAAACGTCGTTACTACGCCAGGGGGTGGGTGGCCGCCTTTGTCTCCCTAGTGGCGATTTTTACACATCGCATCAAGTACTCATTTGAGGCCGAGTCTACCTAGGGGAGGCACAGGACCGGTTCAGATAATCGTCACTGGTGTTGGCCGTGAGCGGGAATCGAACTCGGGTTGCCGGGTTCGTAGCGCAGCGTGCTAACCGCTACACCCACCGCTCCCCATATACTCGACACACACACACGAGCACACACACACACACGGGCACACACACACGTGCAGACACACACACACGGGCACACACACGGGCACACACACACACACACGGGCACACACACACACCGGCACACACACACACCGGCACACACACACCGGCACACACACACCGGCACACACACACGGGCACACACACGGGCACACACACACACGGGCACACACAGACACACACACGGACACACACACACACACGGGCACACACACACAGGGGCACACACACCGGCACACACACCGGCACACACACCGGCACACACCGGCACACACACACGGATACACACACGGACACACACGGGCACACACAGACACACTGGCACACACACACACACGGGCACACACACACACGGGCACACACACACGGGCACACACACACACACCGGCACACACACACACACACGGGCACACACACACGGGTACACACACACGGGCACACACACACGGACACACACACACACGGGCACACACACACACACAGAACCCGGCACACACACACACGGGCACACACACACACACGGGCACACACACGGGCACACACGGACACGCACACACGCACACAGAGGCAGGCCACTGGCACGACAGCTTTTGTCTGAAGCGGCGGTAGCCCGTGACGCATGCTCGGTTGACGCATTCCCGTGCAGCCGAATTAAAGCGCCCGCCGAGGCGCGCGCTAGAACAGAGGCGTGGCGCTGCTGCTGCTGCACGGTGCTGCGGTGCTGCTGGGCACGTAAGCTTTACACGTGTGTGTGTCTGTGTGTGTATGCGTGTGTGTGTGCCCGTGTGTGTGTGCACGTGTGTGTGTACCCGTGTGTGTCTGTGCGTGCCCATGTGTGTGTGATGTGTGTGTGTCTGTGTGTGTGTGGCCTTGTGTGCGTGTGTGTGCGCGTGTGTGTGTGCCCATGTGTGTGTGTCCGTGTGTGCGTGTGTGTGTGCCCGTGTGTGTGTCTGTGTGTGTGTGCCCGTGTGTGTGTCTGTGTGTGCGTCTGTGTATGCCCATGTGTGTGTGATGTGTGTGTGTGTGCCCGTGTGTGTGTGCCCGCGTGTGTGTGTGCCCGTGTGTGTCAGTTGTTGGGGAGCGGTGGTGCAGCGGTTAGCGCGTTGCGCTATGAATCCGGCGGCCCGAGTTCGATTCCCGCTCACGGCCAACTCCGGTGACGATTATCCGAACCGGTCTTGGGCATCCTCTAGGTCGACTCAGCCTTAAATGAGTAGTTGATGCGGTCTGTAATAAACATCGTCACTGGGGATACAAAGGCGGTCGGGCGCGGTGTTGGCCACCCACCCCTCGCGTCTCCATAGGTGCTCGCTTTGTGTCAGTGGTCGACTCAGCCTCAAATGAGCTCCTGATGCCTTGTGTAAACATTGTCACTGGGGAGACAAAGGCGGTCGGGTGTGGTTATGGACACACCACCCACTCGTGTGCAGTGCCAGCCTCCAAAGGTGCTGGCTGACGGCACTTGCCCCAAAGAGTTCGTTGAGACTACACGGGGAGATCTTTGTCTTTACTAGGCGGAGTGGTGGCGCAGTGGTGAGCGCACTGCACGGCGCAACGAAGCCCTACGACCCGAGTTAATTTCCCCGGCTAACATCAGTGGCGTAGTGAACTGCGATCATACATGACCGACACGGTAGTGTTGGGGGAGGACTTCATCCAACGGTGGATAAACATAGGACTGTAATTTATTTTCGCAATTCTTACGATTTGATAGCAGAATAACAACGTGGGACAGGGAACGTGCTCTTCGTACTATAGCTACTGTTTAACATGAGCGTCGTTCGGGCAATTATAGTTTGCAAATGTTCTTACACAGCCACCTGGTGTGATACATAGTCTCATTAAAATGTGAATAATGTATGGGCATGTGAGCATAGTATGGTAACTGTGCAGGGTCGTCAGCAACCCGGCCAGTTGTATCATTGGAAGCTCAGTTTTACCTTGGGATGTGAGTTTTACCATGGGAGTGCAGTTTTATCATGGAAAGTCCAATTTTACCGTGGGAGTCCAGTTTTACCGTGGAAAGTCCAGTTTTACCATAGGAAGTCCAGTTTTACCATGGAAAGTCCAGTTTTACCGTGGGAGCCCAGTTTTACCATTAATGTTGTGAATGTTAAAACTGAACTGCCATGGTAAAACTGGACTGCCATGGTACGAGTGGATTTCCCACGGATGTTGTGAATTACAACGGCGTGGATGAGTTGAGACGCAGTGGCTCTCTGTTCAAACGAGCAATGGGACAGCGCTCTTCACCGTCAATAACCAACCCCAAGCCAGCGGTGGAAACTCCACATTCCTATGGGGGGGCAGTCCATCCATGGGGTTAGGTTTAAGTGTATTAGGTTCACTTTCTTATACGCGAGGCTTTCATCCAGCAGTGGCTTGATCATGGCTGACGATGGTGTGTTCCACTACTTGGCTGCTGCTCTGTTGTTCCATCGACGTCGTTGTCCATCAGACCAACTTAGAGCGGCGGTTCTCGTCCGGAGAGGTGGGAAGCACGTGGCAATGTGACGCGATTCATACATCCGTGAAATTATATCGTACGAATCTTGCCAAACATTAAATAACTACGATAACATTTAAATCCACACGGTACCCGCCGGGGAGAGGACGACAAACTGAACACGAAAATAAAGTTCTCAAGAAATGAGCAGTCCAGTGTAGAGGTCTGCACTTGAGACAAAACGACGATTTTCTGAGGTCCTGCCGAGGTTTCGCCACCCAGCGGCAGCCGAGACCTCCTCTGTACGCAAGCGGTTCGGGCATCGTTCTGCGCAGATCGCCCTCGGCTCTTCCGACCGCCACGGAGGAAGAGTCAACAGGCGATTTTACGACCCTGCGCACATGCAACAGGCAGCGAAGCGACTCGTCAACAACACCGCGGCCTTCATAGGAACAAAAACACATCACAGGGGTCGACAATCTGCTACTCATGAGTCGCATGCGGTGGCTCTTCAAGGACCGCTGGCTTCGTCACGTTAGTCATTCCGAGACCGCCGTCTCGTATTCACCACACAGTCCATTGCGGATTTTTAAAATATATTTTAGGTGTTTATTTTGTTACCGAATTCCCCAAAAAAATTCCTCTTCTTGATAATTGTTTTTTTACCCTTTTATCTGGCAACAAAACTGACACCTTCTTTACAAGGAGTCATGTTTGCATAGACTACAATACCTGCAGTCAGAATGCAAACAAAAAACACAACTCTGATAATGGATGCACTGTCCTTGACAGTGCAATAAAAAAAGGTGTCAGTTTTGTTGCCAGATAAAAGGGTAAAAAAACAATTATCATATTTTTCTACTTGCAAATGAGGTTCCAATGGTGAATTCCTCTTCTTGTTAATTCGGTTGCCGTCCCCTGCGCTATGAGACAGAGTCATTGTCCAAAGCGTCGCCGGTCATATAAATGTACATATTTATTTATCCTATCATATACATTTAAATATTTATCACATCAAGGCCGCAGCGTTATCGACGAATCTGATGGAGAAGTCTCGGCTGGGGCGCAGTCCTCGTCATCTCAGCAGCCGCTGGAATCGCTCGCCGCCGTAGCTTCCACGCAGAGACGAGAGGTCCCGTGGTGATGGTGGTGGAGATGATGGTGGTGGTAGTCAGACTCTCGATCGTCAGCCCCATCCAGCGACGTTTCGTGCCCGAGGCCCAGCTAAGATTTCTGAACAATGCTACCGCCTATCTGTCAACCCCTTATTACAGACCAATTCAGACCGTATTGGTCACCACGTGCCCTTATAAATCCCAAAGTTCATCTTACAAAGTCCCATCGCAAGGGAGAAACACAAACGCATAGATACAAAATAATTACCCCTATTGAATCGCCTATACGCCGTATGGACCTGAAAACTCAATTTCGCTGCACAAGAATACGGAGTAAGCCGTATCGGTTGATAGCTATGCGACCGATGTAATTAAATCTGGGTATAAGGTGCAGACGAAGTGTGGGGCAAGCAGCGACTTGCGCGGTTTGTATTTTGGCAATTTGCATCGCTTCGTGTTTGTTGAACACGTCAGCCAGCAGCTGCCAATAACGCACGCGGGCAACACGCAATGATCGAACACACCGTGTTTACACTGCGTCTCGTACACACAGAGGCGACCAGTGACTCAACGACTGCTCTACATCATACCGGTGGTCTCGAAACCATTAGGAATCGGACATTTGTCTCGAATACAATGCAGTTATGAATTAGAAAGAAAAGGCGAGAAGCTACATTTTAGACTGCGTAATTGTTTGGGGCAAATATTGTTGACGAGCGCCTATGCATGCTGGAACAGCGCGAGGGGGGGGGGTGGCCAGCACCACAGCGCACACACACTGAATGTCAACACTGCGGAGGTGTTCGCTGTTGCCCTGCTGTATAACTCTCTGATGTGTTTGTCGTGGTTGCACCGCGTGTTGTTAGTTGCTGAAGAAGCTTGCACCACGTGGAGCAATAACGTCGGACATCGGACCGAGCTGAGCGCGGTCGAACCCAAACGCACGTGGTGGCGCAGCGCTGCGCCGAGTGTCAATGCTTGCTGCGCAACCTCAGGGCACCGATGTCTTCTGCAGCGAATCTTGGCTGGCACAGCATCGCCAAGGGTGGCATCGTCATCCCTCGCCCACCCGTGGACCCGAGAGACCGGGCACATCGTGGCACCCCCAGGGACCCCGTCGCGCTCTCCCTGCCACCCATCGGGAACCGCGGGGACCCCGGGCCCTGCACCCCAAGGAGAGGGGACCCAACTTCCTTTCGGGACCAGCAGCAGCAGCCGCAGCACCGCGCCACGCCTCGCCGTCTCCTCGCCCTGCAACCGAAGCAGACGCTGCGGCATTCGTGGCCAGGGTTTGTCAGGGGGCCCCAAGGGATGGGACATCGGGGATCCCTCCTCCTTGGGGGTCGGAGTGAGGGTAGACTTTGTCAGCCTAGGCCACCCGCGGGCGAGAAGGGGGGCACAGCAGAGGGAGGAGCTCTCCCGGGTGCCGAAGGAGACCCGGCGGCTCCGTTCTCCCTGTGCCTCACCCCGGAGGCGATCGGGGTCCTGCAGAAGAGGAGGCTCGCCCAGGGGCTGCGGCTGGGAGGAGTGGACGAGGAGGGAGAGAAGAAGCGACGAGGGCAGGCGGGGAGGGGGCGAGGTGTGGGCCACGTGGCGAGTGGAGAACTGGTCCAAGGTGAAGCTGCTGCTGCTGTTGTTGATAACGCGGACACAGACACGCACACGCAGGGATGGAGACGAGCACATGCCCACAGCGAGGCACACATACACAGCGACACATGCACAGAGCGATACGGGCACCGAGGAAACGAACATTCACAGGCTGTTGTGTATAGCTTGGGGCAAGTGCTGTTAGCGAGCACCTATTAAGGCCGGGATGGGTGGCCAACGCCACGTCCGGCCGCCTTTGTCTCCCCAGTTCTGATATTTACACACTGCACCGGGTACGGTACTAATTTATGGCTGAGTCGACCTGGGGGAGGCTCATGTCCAGGTATTAGATAGATTTGTGCATCGCGGGTCTGTGAGAGAGAGCAATGTCTGGGCGGAGGTGACGCCTTCATCCAGCAGTGGATAAATCACGGATGATGACGACGACGACGACGATGATGATGATGATGATTCGTGTGTTGTCACAGGATTTGGAGGCGAGATCTTCAGCGAGACGGAGGTACCAAAGGGACTTCTCAGGATTTCTCTGCTCAACGACAGACATCGCTACGACGACGTGGAGTACGAGGACGATGATGACGACCGTGGTGGTGGTGGTGGTGGAGTGAAGTCAGCCAGGACGCTGCACGTGGACGCAGGGGTTCGTGACAAGTGCGTGATGTGGCTGCGAGGGCTGGAGGAGGCAAGGGGAGGTCACAGTCTGCCTCACCTCATTCTCTAGACATCGTCAACATCTTTATCAGTCTTCACTTCGGCTGGAGGAATCCGATGAGCTATGAAGCTCTTTTTTCACAGACGTTCAGTAGAGGCAGTCGGCAAGTTAAATCATCATCATCATCGTCAGCATCGTCACGTTGCCATGAGATAATCAGGAGCATAATCGTTGAATTCACATGATTCATAATGATGTTTAATACACATTTGCATGTTATGCATTAAGAAAGGTCTATCACCATCATCATCGCTATCAACATCCACGTAATTTAATTCATATCCTCACAATCACAGATGGCTCACGTGATTACCATGAGTTAATCATTGACATCGCCATTCAATTCACATCATCATCATCATCACATTAAATTCACATTGTCATGACGCATATCGGGCCGTGGTGGCTATGCACGTCGCCTGCAATCCAGCGCTCTGGGGGCAGCAGCGAGGGTTGGCAGTGCCGGACTAAGCTGGTGCGGGGCCTGTTGCGTGATGTTATAAAGGGGCCCTAAAATAAATAAAAACACAGAAATATTAAAACACTATTTTTTTTACTTACGTAGTAAAGTAATTGTATTTTTTCATTTGTTATACAGCCAGATAATATGACACATAGCTAACCTTAAACATCCAGTCCTTCATAAAAGTTGAAGGCGGTATAGTACTATAGTAATAGAGCAAGTGCAGAATCACTGAACCGGAATTGATAGCTTGAAATCATTTAGCGCGGGGCCCATGAAAGTGTGGGGCCCGTAGCTACTACATGTGTAGCTACTACACGTGTAGTACCTACTACACATGTAATAGCTACTATACGTGTAGCTACTACATGTGTAGCTACTACACATGTTGTAGCTACTACACGTGTAGTAGCTACTATATGTGTAGCTGTTACATGTGTAGTAGCTACTACATGTATAGCTACTACACGTGTAGTAGCTACTACACGTGTAGTAGCTACTACACGTGTAGGGGCTACTATACGTGCAGCTACTACACGTGTAGGAGCTACTATATGTGTAGCTGTTACATGTGTAGTAGCTACTACATGTATAGCTACTACATGTGTAGGAGCTACTACACGTGCAGTAGCTACTACACGTGTAGTAGCTACTACACGTGTAGTAGCTACTACACGTGTAGGAGCTACTACTACATGTGTAGTAGCTACTACATGTGTAGGAGCTACTACACGTGCAGCTACTACACGTGTAGGAGCTACTACTGCATGTGTAGCTATTTTTGCTACGAGGATAATCCGGCACTGGGGGTTGGTGAATCACCACACGTGGGAGTCGCCACACTCCCTTACGTGGACGTCGAGGATGAGCCGTATACCCCGGCTCGCCAGGAGAAGGCGGGACAGCAACAAAATGTGGACTCCACCTGTCCCGTCTCTGTGGGATCGAGTGTTTCTCCCTCCACGGGTGGGTTTTCGCCGGGCCACGCCGGTTTCCTCCTACATGGTAAGCACTTAACACATTCCTGCGGAGGGAGCTGGTAGGAACGTTGGGTTGCTTGGTCAATGGCCAGGGTCAACGGCGGCGTGGTGTATTCCGCAAATATGGTCGACTGTGAGGGCGGGCACAAGCCGGCGTGAGTAGGTTAAACGTTGAGTTTTATAAGGGCACCCACGGGGTGACCAGCCCCTCCCCACCCAGCCCCACCCAGCCCCACCCCTCCCACTCCCCACCCAGCCCCACCCTGCCCACCCATCCCCTTCCCACCCTCCCCTCCCCAACCAGCCCCTCCCCACCCTCCCCACCCAGCCCCTCCCCACCCTCCCCTCCCCACCCAGCCCCACCCTCCCCACCTAGCCCCTCCCCACCCTCCCCTCCCCACCCAGCCCCCCCCCCCCACCCAGCCCTCTCCACCCAGCCCCACCCCTCTCATTTTTGGATGCACGACGGACGGACACAATAATCCTCTGTGGGCTGGTGGAACCTGTGGGTTCCTACCAGTATTAATTGGCAATCCATACAGCATCTACTGTTGCCTTGGATTGGTTGTAGGACCCTTAGCATTCAACTCTGCCATCTATCCATCATACAGCTTTTTGGGTTAGATCGTGAGGTCATCGTTGGAGGCCATCGATGAATTTACACGATCATCGTCGTCGTGTGTAAATCACGCGATCATCAGACATCATCCGCTTGATCATAATGCAACCTGAACCATCATCACAAGCAAGGCACGCTCATGATCATTGCTATTTAACCACCACCACCACCACCATCATCATCGTCGTCGTCATCTATGCACTTATATTCTTTGGTTCTTTTGGTAAAGTCACGTAGGTATAAAATAAAATAAAATCTATGCAGTAAACATGACAAACTTAATCGCCATAGAGCACCCTCTCCATCACAAGCCATCATTCTGTAGCGCAGTGGTTTTTAACCTTGACTGCAACCTTGCACCCATTTGGTTCTCAATCCTTAAAACAAATGTACACTTTTAATAAACACGTCGGGTTTGATGAAATGAAGTAGTTGTAACTCATGTGGCCGTGCTTAATTTGTGTGTTGCGATGATTTACCTTCGAAACAACTCTGGCCACGTTTCGCACCCCCAGAAAGGGCATCTCGCAGCCCCAGGTTAAGAACTCACTGGTGTAGTTTGTTGTTCATTAATTGCGTTGTGGACCGCTGCTATATTATAATGAGATTGTACAGAAATAAGCCGAGGCAGCCACGCGCCCCCCCCCCCAACTTTCAACTGGAGTGTTATTGTTTTGAGTGTGTGTGTGTCGAGCCAATGTGTGCGCGCGCGTGTGTCATTTGTAAATACGTTCGAACATTTTCATAATAAAACAAAACGAATAAAAGCAATGGACGAAGCCCAAAGTGTGACGGTGTCGTTGTAGTATTGTTATTGTAGTAATACGAGGGGACATGCCCGTGACTTCACACACAGTGGGGGGGGGGGGGGTATGGGGAGGTTATGGAGTTGGGTGGCTAGCGGCATACCTGCTGGTTGTGTAGGAGGAGCGGTGGGATAGACGTGTGTGTGTCTCGATGTAAAGCTTTCGTGACTGCAGGGATTCCTCTTCTTGGTTCTTTCGGTAAAGTCACGTAGAAGGGAAGTAATAAAATAATACAAATAAAACATAATAAAATAATTCTCACGACGTTTCGGCCACAACGCAAGCAGCCGTCCTCAGGTGAAAACCAGGTTTGTCGAGGCGACAGCGTCTGAATGAAACAGCACACGTGCTTGGAGTGTATATATAAGCTGGGTTGGAAGGGGGGGGAAAGGGCGCCTTGACAAAAGCCTTTTCCCCCCCTTCCAACCCAGCTTAAATATATGCTCCAAGCACGGTGCTGTTTCATTCAGACGCTGTCGCCTCGACAGACCTGGTTTTCACCTGAGGACGGCTGCTTGCGTTGTGGCCGAAACGTCGTGAGAATAATTTTATTATGTTTTATTTTTATTAATTTATTACTTCCCTTCTACGTGACTTTACCGAAAGAACCAAGAAGGTGTGTGTGTGTGTGTGCTGTGTGGTTGATTGTTGGTGGGAGAAGTGGCGTAGTAACGACGTTATCAGTGGCGTAGTAACGACGTTATCAGCTCAGGGGGTGCGGTGATCCATCAGGTGGGCCCCAATATTTGTTCGTCTCTTCACGGTCGCACCTGGAGGCTCTTCTACATCGCGGCTCCTCTTGCCCGAATCACAGCGTCGTCACCCTCACGGTCTCGAACATTTAACGCTGCAGGCGCCCTCCGCCTTGGCAAAATGCAGCCACTGCAGCTGCGTAGGAGTAACTCTTTGCAATATTGCGTTAGCGCTATGATTGCATGAAAATAAAGCGTGGAACGAAAACGAAATAATTTTCATCAAAAATATATTTAATTCTAGATTTGAAGCTTTCGTGACTGCAAGGATCCATACTCTTTGGTTTATTCGGTGAAGTCACGTAGGTAAAAAATAAAATAAAAATGAAAACAACTAAATAAAATCACGACGTTTCGGGCGCAACACAAGCGTCCGTCCTCAGGTGGGGGCAAACACAGCGAAACAACAATAGCTGAAGTTTGCCTCAGAGATAGCTGTGACAAGGGATTATATATGTACGCGATCTAACCCAAAAAAACCTCTAATTTATGATATTGGTCGCGAAAGCCTACGTGTTAAACCAAAATACACAAACTTTATTTCATTTGGATCACATGTACAACAGTTGTTGTGACGTCGCCTCTTACCGACAGACGGACGGAGAGACGGGCAGAGAGACAGAAGAACAGACAGACGAACAGAGAGACGAACAGACAGACAAACATACAGACAAACAGACAGACAAACAGACAAACGAACAGGCAGACGAACAGGCAGAGAGTCAGAAGAACAGGCAGACGAACAGGCAGACGAACAGACAGACAAACAGACCGACAAACAGACAAACGAACAGGCAGACGAACAGACAGACGAACAGGCAGAGAGACAAACGAACAGGCAGACGAACAGACAGACAAACAGACAGACAAACAGACCGACAAACAGACAAACGAACAGGCAGACGAGCAGACAGGCGAACAGGCTGACGAACAGGCAGAGAGACAAACGAACAGGCAGACGAACAGACAGACGAACAGACAGACAAACAGACCGACAAATAGACAGACGAACAAACAGACGAACAGACAGACAAACAGACCGACAAACAGACAAACGAACAGGCAGACGAACAGACAGACGAACAGACAGACGAACAGGCAGACGAACAGACAGACGAACAGGCAGACGAACAGGCAGACGAACAGGCAGACGTAGACATCGGCATCGATTTGAATGCTCCCTCCGCGTGCTGCATCAACTCGTGACGCTTTCCATACAGGGCCGCGCGTCACCGCTAGAGGGCGCGTGGAAGCTGTGAGTGCACAGTGTGGATGTTGATGATGGTTTAACACGTGCTAGGATTTCGCAAGCAATATCTTCCATAATCGAGGTTTTTTTGGGGTTAGATCGCATAAAGGTATAAATGTGTCGCTAAACCGGCCACCATGCGACACAGCCAACTAGTAAGGGTTGTCACGTAAACAGAACGTGACCAATTCGTCACTAGTACAGCACTAACTGGTGTGTTGGAGAGCCAAGCCACAACATTTACAATCTGAGTACGACGTTTCGCCAGTAATTACAACTAGCTTCATAAAAAACCCTCTATTAGAGATGATTATCATGATCAACATACAACTGCCGATGATGAGAATGCTGGTGATACTGTTGACGCCGACGATGATGATGGTGCCACTGATGATGGTGGCGTCTGCTTCTGCATCTGTTAAGATCGTTAGATATATAACATCACGATTGTGCTATATTAATTCTAGATTTGAAGCTTTCGTGACTGCAAGGATTCATACTCTTAAGCTTTTTCGGTAAGTCACGTGGGGAGAAAAATAATAGATCACGACGTTTCGATCGCAACACAAGCAACCGTCATCAGGTGTGACAACCACAGCAAGAAAAACCATCGTTCGCAGTTGCGCGGCCGCCTTTGTCTGCCCAGTGCCGATGTTTTCGCACCGCACCAGGTTACGCACCGGTTCAGACATCGCTCTGAAGCGGCCCTGGGCGTTTATTTGCGAGTTACCCGGATAACCACTTCACTGGACCGCACGAGAATGTATGCCCCTGCAGTAGGCATCAGGGACGCGTCTCATACTCACACCACCCAGCCAGCCACCCAATCCAGATCACTGC